CTAAAAAAGAAAAAGACAAAATTAAAGAAGTTGATGTACCATTGGAGGATGATGATGGTTGGTCAGTGGTTGTGTTCATGTGTTGTTGAGAACTCATAACAACACCAGGCCATGAACGACACATACAATGCATTCCCTCGTCGATACTACCATAGAGTGTGGTCAAGTGTTTACCACATCCTCCCCAGGTGTCCTTCCCACAGGTTGAACATTCTACCCTGTAACACATTTCTATGGTTGATGAAGAATCACTTGTACGAGTATATGATCTAACTATCATGGTTTTTTTTTTTTTATAGTAATTGGGTGTATTATTGTATTCCTATGATTTATGGCACTTTGATATCATCAGCATTTAGTTTATAGTTTGTTTCTTATACCACCATCTAGCTGTGAAAGTTTGTTGCTAAAGATAATAACGCCTTGCATTGTTTTTGGGTTATTACATTTTAAATTTTGGATTTTGTATCCACTCTAGTTTCCTTTCAAACCTTGAAGAATTCATAGAGTATGAGACCGTGCATATACCTGCAAAACTCTTCTTTATTTTATTTTACCAAATGTACTATTTTATGGATTTTCTGTTGATAATAAAGAGGACTTTTGTATTTTATGGATTTTCTGTTGATAATAAAGAGGACTTTCATGAGAAAAATATATTTTTTGGATTTTCTGTTAATAATGAAAACGAATTGAATGTGATTAAACATCATGAATCAATGATCAATTTAATACTTTGTATTATTTTTCATTAACCAAATAAATTTTTGTAATATTTGTTATTTTTGAACATGCAACCTAGAATGCTTAACAAAAATCGCATAAAATTTTGAGAAATAAAATGAGAAAGGAAAGATTAATTATGAGAAAGAAGGAAAAAGTTATGCTATAATCTATAAATTACACATTTTTTGGCAGCGTGCTACTCCTGTTGTTTTCTTTTTTTAATTAAGAGGGTCAAAGACTCAAAGAAAGACGAAACTACAAGAACATCTTTTTATAAGAGAAATTCTTCACAATATCCTCAACTAACAGTTTTTGAATAAAACTAAGAGCAACAGAATAACGATGCATATCTCTATTTAATTTACAACCAGTTTTAGCAAGAGCATTTGTACACCAGTTAGATTCTCTAAACACATGCTTCACAAAGGCTTCCTCAAACCTACTCAATAGACTCCCAATCTTCTTGAGCATCTTCAAACCTCCATTTCTCCTATAGCTCCCCTGATTAATATCCAACACAATTTTAGAAGAATCCACATTCACTTCTACTCTTCTGAATTCAAAGTCTAAGACTAGAATCATACCTTCAAGTAAACCCTACAACTCAGCCATGTAGCTACTACAAATGTCTACATTCTTAACAAAACCTCCCAACCAAAAATCCTTATCATCTCTAACAATTTTCCCACATCCTGCAGCAACTCCCTCTATGCAAGCATCATCCACATTTAATTTCACCATACCTAAGCTAAGAGGATCCCACTTAACAAGCATAACTTCCTTGTTCCTCCCAATTACCCTCTTATTCATCTTCAAAGCATCCTCATACTCCTTCAACCTCACAGACACATGCAAGTTATGGTTAAAAGGCCTTACGAACTCCTCGTTATGGTCCTCTTAATTACGCCAAAACCAAAGAGAATGATAAGTCATCGCCTAATACGAACTTCATCCTACATCCTCCTTAGTGCTATAATTAATATTCAAACCGAACCATTCTTCCAACTACAAATTAAAAATTCATGATGTATATCTAATGACACTTTATTCACCCAAATTTCCCAAGCGTAAGGACATTCACGAAATAAATGCAACATAGTTTCATTAGCATGCCCACACAAATTATAAGCAGTTGCTCCAAGGCCCCTCCTACTCTTGCTCTTATTCGTTAAGAACCTATCATGCTTTAACATCCAAACAAAATTCTTAATCCTCTCAGGAACTCTTAGCCTCTAGATTCTCCTCCATTCATGGTCTACATTAGTATTATCAAGATGCATCATTAAGCCATAGAACTGCACGAAACCAACGTCATCTTATCCAAAATACCTCGAGGAACCCAATGTTGCAGAATTTTCCAATTCCAATCCCCCCTTTCTATCACTAAATCGCACACTTTTGCACCTCGAAAACTGTCTGGAATCAACTGCACATGTTCGCTAATACAAGTTCCAGCCTCTAACTTACTATCTTCCCAAGCATCAACACTTCTACACTCACCAATATGACATATACCGTTCTTCAACAAATAAGAAATTGACTTATTTATAGCCCTCCACAAACCAAATCTCAAGTGCTTCTTGTGTATTACTACTCAAATTTTCATCTTTATATAAAACTCTCAAAACTTTGCAAAACAGGTTTTTAGCACCATCAATTAACTTCCAGACCAACTTCCCAAGCATAGTTGATGTATTTGATCTATATATATATATATATATATATATATATATATATATATATATATATATATATATATATATATATATATATATATATATATATATATATATATATATATGTGTGTGTGTGTGTGTGTGTGTGTGTCTTCAACACCATCAATTAACTTCCAGACCAACTTTATAATATAAGCAAATTTCACCTTTTTAGATTCATTAAATAGTTTATGTATTTGATCTATATATATATATATATATATATATATATATATATATATATATATATATATATATATATATATATACCATTAACATTAATTATTTAATAAATCTAAAAATGTGAAATTTACTTATAATATGGAATGGAAGGAGCACCTTTTGCATTGAAAGTATAATCATGTCACACATTTTTGTGTTGTTGAACAAATGTGAAGAGCACATGGAAAGCCACAGACCGCAATACGTTGCAAACATGAAGTTGTCACACATTTCTATGTTTATTGAGAAGCAAGAGGAGCGCATGGATCGGGAGAACCATGGACTGCAATGCAATTCTGCCGTAAAGTAATCCAAAAGTGGATCTTTTATTAGTATTTTCTTGAATCTAAAGGCCCACTATTATATATTAGTACTCTCTCCGTCCTACAATGAGTGACGCATTTAGAATAAAAAAATGTCCCAAAATGAATGATCCATTTCAATTTTCAATTCAGTTTTCCAATTCTATCCTCTAATTAATCTAATGTTTTAGTAAAATTAATACGAGAAATCCTTGTTTAATTTTGATGACAAAAACTGCAACAAATATATTTTAAAGACTATAGAGGCGATTATCAGTCTTAGAAGCAATAGTTGTTGGAATTAAACTTCAACCTTGAAGATAATCTTAATCAATCTTGATTGAACGAGAATCAATCTCACTGATTGAACTTCGATCCCGGTTTAATTTTGATGACAAAAACTACAACAAATATATTTCGAAGACGATATAGGCGATTATCAACCTTATAAGCAAAAGTTGTTGGAATTAAACTTCAATCTTGATTGAATGAGAATCAATCTCACTGATTAACCACGTCTTTCGCTCTTCACTCATTAGTTAAGTGATTCAACCACATCTTGATTGCAAGATGATTCCACCGCACAATGATTTTAAAGAAAAGAAATTCGTAAAAGTGAATTGGGGAATAAAAAGAAAAATTAAGCTTTTGGGAGAAAGGAGAAGACGATGGATCAAATTCTGCGAAGTTTCTTTCTATGATTATTCTTATTAAATTTCTTTTATTGTATAATTTTACACTGTTAATCAATCATAAATGTGTATCTCGCCAAGTCACACGTTTAATTTTAAAATACTTAATGTTCCGGACTGACCCAATGGCTAGGCATGACCCAATCCATTTCTGCTCCCAAAACAACCTAATTGCCTAAGTCCAACCTCTTTGGTGGAGAGTTTACCTTTCTGCCCCTTCAATAGGGGAGGTTGACCAATTTACCCTTGGTTACAACACCTCTCTCCGTCAGTCTCTGCCCGTCACGCACGGTTCCACCATCCAGAAACAGTCAAGACGCTTGTGCCAGTGACTGTACCTCTGCCCGTCCCAACGTCTAGTTATGGGCACGTTTGCCCGTCCCAACGGCTATTTCTGACAATTACCTATTCTTCGAGAAACAGTTATCTCGCCCCGAAAATAGGAACCAATGGTCAAGCGTTGAGGGCATTATAAAAACCCTATCATTTGAGAGGGTCAAGTATTCAATTTTTCACCTTGAAATACACATATTTTGTACTTGCTCGCTTTCTTGCCCATTTTCTTACTTTAGCATCAGAGTGCCTTGCAGGTACATCCCCTCCTCCTCTTTCACACCCAGTATCACAGACGTTTGTTATTGGCTCATCTCAGATTCTAATCGTTCGGTAAGATCACTTAATGACATGACAAAATGTTATAAGAGAATAATTAATATACATTGTCAGTATAAAAAGTTTCACACAGCCAATTTATCACTAGCATCCATTTGCATTACTAAATTTTGTCAGTATAACGTCTCTAATTAAGTGTCCGTGTAAAATATTTTTGCACTGACGATATATTTCAATTAAATCTATGTTATAATTCTATTGAATGATGATGTAAAACTAATTTATAACGACAATGCATTGTTTTGATTTTTATTTTTTATCTTTTATTTTAAAAATTTAGGCGAAATATGTAATTGGAAAAGAAAGCGGGTTGAATGATTAAGGCCCGTGAATCCGAATTGAACCCGTGTAGGGAGGCATCGCACCGACGGAACATAATATTCTGTGTGTAGAAGAAGAACAATCCCGCTAACTCAAAGCAACAATTAAATACTATATTCATTGTCTCTATCACATTTATATTTCCATCATTCACTTTCCCCCATTCACCTTTCACTTTCCATTCTTTCTTTATATCCTCCTCTATTCTTTCCATTTATTTATTTAATATTATTATTTCCTCTCTTACCATTCACTCACTCCTTCGTTTTGATCCAGGTACGTTAGTAGAACAAAACCGGTCATGTTTGACGTGATATAAAAGGATAAAAAAGTAATATCCTATCTATGCTATGCTATACTACGCTATGATGGATGAACTTCCGGGAGCGTTTGGCACCAGCGCTAGCTTATCGCTTCGTTTGGGTCAGACCGTTTTTTCATCTGCTTCTCTATGCTTCATGTGCTTGGACGTTGGTTTCTACTCCTTCACTTCTTTCTCGTATGTCCTCTTTTCTCGATTCCTTTTTTATTTTTCAGTTTAATTTATTTTATTTGCTATGATGACTACTAATTGATGCTTTTCAATTTCATCTTTCATGATTTGTCAATACATTTGATTAGAAGTAGAATTGATTTTGCATACTACTACATGATTGTGTTAGTTTAATGACATAGGAACTTAGTATTTGAGTGTTAACCTATAAAAATAACTTATGACATTTTTGAGTTTACAAGTGTTTGCTCTATTTATACAGAAAGTTCGTACTGTGTAGAGTTTTTAGCTCATTTTCTCTTACTATGAAAGAAACAATTTATACATAAACTGTCATATCGTAGTAAGTGGTTATTGAGTCAACATTCAATGAAGTGATTAATTCAAACACCGTTTGGATTGCTCGCCTAAAAGCTCTAGAAAGTTGGGGGACATTTTGGAACAATAGTAGGATTAAACAAAACAAGAAGCAGAACAGAGATTTTTTCTTGAGCCTTTCAATAACTATGACTAATACAGATCCATGTTTGAATTTGCTGCAAGTTTGACAAAATCACGTGATTTTACAAAAGATACACTTTCAAGTTTCAACAAATTCACAGTGCCGTCGTGTTTAATTTAGATACTTCACTTCATTCTCAAAGTGGACTTGTTAGTATGGTGGCAAAGGAATGGATTTCAAGTTTTTGAGATTTTTCTGCATAGCTAGAAGAATGTTATTCTGACATGATATTTGGATGTTATAAGAAAGCAAAAGTCTGAGAATTGTGTGTCAATACAGAAAATTCATAGTTTAAAAAAGAGTATTTCTTTATGCATGCTATTCAACAGGTTCTTGGTAACAGTAATGGGTTTGGCAATTCCCTGGAGCATAACATTGTTCTTGGTAGATGCTTACTCCGTCTTCGTACAATGTTTGCCGATTCAACGAAGACTCATAATGATAATCGTTTTTGGAGACATGGTACCTACATTTTTATTATTAATTAGACCAAGTTCGTTAGGGACACTGATTCCTTGCAGTCAAATCACTCAGCATTCACGCGTTCAGTTGTATCTGATCGGACAGTCCTGATTTAAAATTGATAATCTTAGGAAAATTAAATCTGTTTTTTCTGAGCTGTGCGATCAAGATCAAATGGTTGATAAGGGCTTGACAACGTGAATGCGGCAAAAACCCGACTGCAGATTCACTTTCGTTAGGTTAGGCCTTATTGTTGCATACAGTTACTAATGATGAATGATGTGATTTGTATATTCCAGGTTATGTCGTATCTTTCATTAGCTGCAGCATGTTCTGCAGCAAGTGTGACAGATCTTCTGCGTGAAGCTGGTAGATCACATTGCCCTGCAAAGTTATGTGGTAGATATCAATTGTCTGCTGCTATGGCATTTTTGTCTTGGTTTCTTTCATTAGCTTCATGTCTTTTTAATTTTTGGATTTTACCTTCTTTGTAAGAATATTATCTTGCTCATTGTTGATACATCATACATGTACATTAATGAAAAGGGTGCAAATGACAAAGTCATTTCCTCTTGGGCATATATTTTTGGTGTTCTTGTGAATAGAATTTTGGTGACAATAGACAAAAAAAAAATAATAAAAAGTATTAGCTCTTCACATTATAAAAAAATAATAAAAAGTATTAGCTCTTCACATTATAAAAACTCAATATAGGATGAAATGATAATTGTTATATATTTTTTCATATATAAAATAGAGTTTTTCTTGAATATATCCGGCAAAATTAGTTGACACTTATCTTACATTATATGAAAAAAAATTTGTAGTATAAGTCATTTTATAATATCAATGAATTATTAATGACATTTTTTTTTATACTTTTAAATATTTATTATTCTCTCTTTTCAATTATGTAAATTTATATTTCCAATATCATTAATAAATGACAATTTTATAAAAATATTGTGTGAAAAATAAAAAACGACTTATAATAAAAAAATAGATTTAAATATTGAATCAATACGAATATGTGTAACTTAAATAATGTAGCGAAACATGACTTTTTTAAAGGATCATTTTCTTTCACACACAAAGTCTTACCTTTTATTTATAATAAAAAATTAAAATATCATTTAGTCAAACACATGAATAAAAAATTGAAATGTCATTTAGGCATAAAATTGTTGTCAAACATATGAATGACTTCATGTTCTTTAATAACTCACCACGGAAGTTTACCAATTCAACTAGTGAATATTGTTGTATTATATTAGTAATGAAGTACACAAAATTTCAAATAGAACATTTGTAGCTATGTATTTCTTATATATTGAATTCATATTTAATATAATTAAAATTATATAGAAAAAGCAGCAGGAAAAAAAATCTAAGTGAATATAAACTTAATTCACTTTACAAATTTAATTTATTTAAACTTCCTTAATCATAATAATTAAGATATTTTAAGTTCTTTACTTAAAAATTTAATTGATATGCACATACATTATAAAAATATTTTATAATACCAATTAATCATATTGTTAGATATGATTAATTATATTGTTAGATTTGTGTAATGTTTGACTTTTATTTTAATCACGTTTAAAAATATCATTTTTAAAAGACTGTGATGCAATGCTGCATAAAATATTTTGCACCGAGTGAACAACAATTAATCTCTTCACTTAAACTTCCACAAATTCAGTTTATTTAAACTTTCACAAATTGTATTTAAGTTAACTTCTACATATTCAGCTTAAGGAAATTTCTGCATCTTTAATTTACGTAAATTTGAATTTTTTGATGTCCTCCGTTCTGAAACTGAATCCCGGAAGAGCTGTTTCCTTGGTGTTTTGCGTTGCCTCCATACACACACAAACACAAATCAGTAGAACCATTTCACAAGAGTTGAAGTCCCCTACTCATCAAACCCTTCACTGTCTCATAGACCAATGTTTCTCCCTAAATCAACTCAAACTTATCCATGCACAAATCATCCTCCATGGACTCGCCACCCAAATTCTCACATTAGGCAAACTAGTCTCCTCTGGTGTTCAATTTGGAGATCTTCGTTACGCACACCACCTGTTTGATCAAATTCCTCAGCCCAATAAATTCATGTTTAACCATTTGATTAAGGGCTATTCTAATTCTAATGACCCTACTATGTCTTTGTTGCTCTACCGTCAAATGGTGAGTGCTGGTCTTTTGCCGAATCAGTTCACTGTCCCTTTTGTTCTCAAGGCTTGTTCTGCTAAATCATGTTATTGGGCTGGTGTTTGTGTTCATGCTCAGTCTATTAAGCTTGGGATGGGATCTCATGTCTGTGTTCAAAATTCAATCTTGACTGTTTATGTTGCTTGTGATTTGATACTGAGTGCAAGGAAAGTGTTTGATGATATTTCTGAAAGGACATTGGTTTCATGGAATTCGATGATTGCTGGATATTCTAAAATGGGTTGGTCTAAAGAAGTCGTTTTGTTGTTTCGAGAAATGCAACAAGTTGGATTGGAGCCTGATGTGTTCACCTTGGTTGGCTTGCTTTCTGTTTCGTCAAAACACAGTAATTTGGATTTAGGAAGATTTGTGCATCGTTATATCGTCGTTAACGGAATTAAAACTGATTCGGTTGTCACCAATGCACTTGTAGATATGTATGCCAAGTGTGGGCGTTTGAAATATGCTGAAAGTGTATTTGATCAAATGCTTGATAAGGATGTAGTTTCTTGGACATGTATGATTAATGCTTATGCCAATCATGGGCTTATTGACTATGCTTTGACAGTTTTTAACCAGGTGCCTGTGAAGAATGTGGTTTCTTGGAATTCGATAATTTGGTGTCATGTTCAAGAAGGACTTTACGCCGAAGCCGTTGAACTTTTCTACAGGATGTGTGGTTCAGGTGTGTTGCCTAATGATGCTACACTTGTTGCCATTCTTTCATGCTGCAGTCACATGGGTGATCTAGCATTGGGAAAACAAGCCCACAATTACATTTATGATAATAACGTTACACTGAGTGTGACGCTTTGCAACGCTATAATAGACATGTATGCAAAATGTGGTGCTCTTCAGACTGCCATGGACATCTTCTTTGGGATGCCTGTGAAGAATGTGGTGTCATGGAACATTGTTATCGGGGCACTTGCTCTGCACGGTCTTGGAAAAGAAGCCATTGAGATGTTTGAGAAGATGTGGGCAAGTGGAGTTTGTCCTGATGAGATTACCTTTACAGGGTTGCTTTCTGCTTGTAGTCACAGTGGTCTTGTGGACATAGGAAAACATTACTTTGACACAATGAGTTCGACTTTCGGGATCTATCCTGATGTAGAACATTATGCATGCATGGTTGATCTTTTAGGGCGACGTGGATTCTTAGGAGAAGCAATTTCGTTGATACAAAAGATGCCTATTAAACCAGACGTTGTTGTTTGGAGTGCTTTACTTGGTGCTTGTAGAACCTATGGGAATCTAGCAATTGGTAAACAAATCATGAAGCAGTTGTTGGAGTTAGGACGATACGATTCCGGGCTTTATGTGCTTCTATCAAACATGTATTCAGAATCTGAAAGATGGGATGACATGAAGAAAATTAGGAAAATATTGGATGAAAATGGGATAAAAAAGTGCAAGGCAATTAGCTTTATTGAAAAGACATCTAGGGAATCCATTTAAAGATTTGGATGTAAAGGAAATATGCCACTCTTATAATTTAATTCAGCACAAGTTTGATGAATTGAAAGGCATGGATTCATAAAATAGTATTATCAATTTTACTTCAAAGTTTTTCCAAGTCTTCAATTATAAGTCCCCTACTAAAGTTTAACATTACTTAATTAACTTGATCACACTCATTGGATTGTCCTTTTAGAAAAAACATTCAATGGATTGTACAAGAATATTATATAGTTTCATATAATTAACTTAAATAGAACTTTCTTATGAAGGAGCTAAAGGCCCCTACATTCAAGGCATTGTGTATGCCTTTTTTGTATAATTTACTCAACAAACTAATGATTATTTCAATTAGCATGTATCCATGCTTTAAGCCTCCAACATTCATATAAAGAAAATTCAAAGGCCAAAATGTTCATGCTTCATGTGAAAGGGAACTCCACAATAATGGAGTACTAATACATAATAATATTGCGCTTTGTTGGCTAAATTAATAGGACTAGGAAGCACACGAATGGAAGTAAAGCAAAAATCAAACTCTACCAACCGGCAATAACACATGAACATGATAACATGTTATGTATGTAGACTTAAAACATTTTTGTTATGTCAAACTATTAGATTTTCATGCTGTGTGACATTATCATAAGATTTTGTTTCTCATCGAATCGATATTGATCATAAAGTTGAGCAAGTCAATAGGCATGAAACTTCCTTATGCTTCCCACACTTTTGCCAGCAAGGTTTGCGCCAAGTTTTGACTACTCAAAATATAGGACACATTAATGGTCAATTGGACGGCACAGCATAATTATCAATCTACCATTACATTAGTTACTGTAACTTAAAAAATAAAAAAAAAAATAATTGTATGGATCAAGTAGTTTGATATCTCGAATTTACAAAACAATTAACTAGTTCTTTAAAACAAAACAAAACAAAAATGAAATATGTTACATGCAAATAATAAAATACATAGGTCATTTGACCTATTGTTGGATATTTCATAACTTGTTAGCGCAATGAAAATTTTTGAAGCATTTTAATATTTAACATTGCACATTGAGCATCTACATGAATGAAATTGAAGAAGGTATATTTGTAAGATTTTGAGTCGAACTTTAGTTATGTCGAAAAATAATTTTTATGTGTTTCGACATAAAACGAGCATGAAGCCGAAACTGGGTCACATGCTGATGTCGAAGGGTTGCATACTGTAGTCGAAGCTAGTTCTATTATGTAATGTTGAAATATATTGTTGACTTATTATGTTGAATTGGATCTTGTGTTAAGAATCCAATATTTCAATTGTTTAGTTAACTTGGGTTGCAAGTTATCTAGTTAGTCTATATATAGGCTAGATCACTCAGGTTATTGAGTGAGGCCAATTGTGATATTCATTTATAATCATTTGTAAACTCTTATGAGAAAGTGAATAGTAAAACAATTTGCCATATTCATTCTTCTTCTTTTCTTCTTTATCATTTCTCTTCTTTCTCTCTTTTTTCTAACTGTTCTCATTGCTCACCCAAGAACTCCGTTTCTCAATCTTGATTTGTTGAAAGGTATCGTTTGTGATCACAACAAACTGATGCGGTGAGCGTGGAGAAGATGTCGTCAACAAAGTTTGAAGTTGAGAAATTCACCGGAGTTAATGATTTCGATTTATGGTGTTTGAAGATGCGAGCCCTTCTTGTTCAACAGGATTTGCTAGAAGGGTTGATGGGAGAAGATGCCATAGATGCTGCAGTAACTGAGAAGGAAAAGACAATGATGATCGAGAAAGCCCACAACACAATTGTTCTGAGTCTTGGTGATA